AGGGATACTCCTAGTTCAGGTCAGGGATACTCCTAGTCCAGGTCAGGGATACTCCTAGTTCAGGTCAGGGATACTACTAGTTCAGGATAGGGACTAGGAACTGAATTAAAGGGAGGAGCAAGGTGTCAAAGCTTCGTATTTCAATATCATTTTGCCTGTGACCAGTAATAACACGATAGATCATCTTATAATCTTATTAATATACTTAATTGGCAATATAAAATTGAAAAACTTAAGTTTACACACACAAGCGTTCATCATCCGAAGAGGATTAATTCTTCTAGGGTATCGTCCACTTAATCGATGCAAGTGGAACCATCAGAAACTGAATATTAGAGGGAGGGGGGAGGTTTCAGGGAACTGTACATTCCCCGCACACACTTCACAAGTGAGGCCGATTTAAAAATATCATGCACCATACGTTTTTGTACTTAGCAAGGCGAACTTCCAATTACCTAAATATCATAACGGGCTCCGAGAGATGTGATAGATAGCAACCTTACCCGGCTGAATAAATGCCCTGGGGTTATCTTCAAACACGATACTCGTTTTAAGAAATATAATTTTAGGTGCCCCCTCTTTCATCGACAGACCGAGGGTGGTAGAACTTTTACTGTTAGAGCCATTAAATTATGGAACAGTATGAACAATGACATTAAGCAATCACAATCAATTAAGGGCCTCAAAAAGGGTTTGTGCGTTAAGTACTTAGGATATCAGAAAGAAAGTTTAACATTTTATTAGATTATTAGATCATTTGTATGAAAGTCATGTTCATTTTAGTAACGATGTAAGGCGTTTGTTCTGAGTCATGGGGGCTCCGTGCCAGCTTCACCCCAGGTCTTCCAGGTTGCGGCCTGAGGACTTGGAGTGGAGCTGTGCTGCGGTGCTCTTGGCTTGGAGGAAACGTCTTACGTTATTATTATTATTTTTTATTAGAGATTCCTTAATTTTATTTATTTTTTATTCACGTTTAGTTTGTTGATAAATTTTTTCTCGATTATGTATTTTTTAGTATTTCTTAGTTTTTTATTGTTATAATTTTCAGAGGGCCACTGGGTTTTCAGTACGATGTGTTTTATTGTAACTGTTGTGTGTCCCCTCTTTAAATAAAGTTTTATTATTATTATTATTATTATTATTATTA